TTTAATTTATTCTGATCTGCATTTTGTTGCTCTTGCAGGAGGTGTGAAGTTGCACACCTGTCTGGGGATAATTAAAAGAAAAAAGTAATTACTGCTTCATTGCACAGGTCTTCTATCAGTCTGACAGCTGGCCAGCTGGCAGCTTTCCTCCTTACCACAGGTCTGTACCAGAATAGGCCTGTCCCTGCACAGGGACTCATCTAAGCAGAGCACAGCATTGCCTGGAGGCTCTGAGTGTGTCTGTAGGAGCAGAGTAGGCACCATTGCTGTTTCTTGCCTCTTTGATCTGAGTTTGGAATTCTGTGGGCAGTGTCTCACTGCAGGATTTGACTGGCAGTGGGTGCTAGCTGATACACATGTCCAGAGCCCAGACGTGAGCTTGATTGGCAATTACATTACAATGTGGCTGTAACTTCCAAAGTATTTTTTTAATCCAGTACGTGGAATACAGCCACCCCCATTTTTCTGAAGGCTCACCATTTTCTGCTGACATTACTGGATTCTTCATATTCACAAGAGAGCTGAGCAGTGCCTGCAGGCCTGACATATGGGTAATCACTACAGCCAAGGGAGAGGTTGCGGTGTCCCAGGAGGAGCCAGGCAAGGGAGGAATTCTGTGTCATGATGACAACATTAAAATGGAATGGGTTGGAAAATGGATCAAATTCTGTCTCTGATTCCTTTGTAACTCAGTTACTGCAATCCCTCTCGTGCCCAAAGCACCTTCCTGTCTCTCATCTTCCTTGTGCCTTGGCATGAGTGTGTTAGCAGCTCCTAGAAAATATATGGATATTCTTGTCTCTGGTTTTGGATGAGTACTGGGTTTTTGTACCGATCTCCACAATAATTCAGAGTGCTGGAAATATCTGGAGATCAGATATTGAAACCACACAATTCTGATTATTATCTTGCTTTCACATCACATCAGTTGCCATGTGGTTTAGCAGCTGATGATTCTTTAAATGGTTTGTGTTTCACATTAGCACTGTATATCAGTAGGAAACAGAGCTTCTAAGTTTTATAAAGGGTTTATCTTTATGCTGGTGATTTGCGAGGTAGCTGACGATGGACCTGGTACTCTCTGATATAGCGATGCTTTCCTGGTAGGACGGGAGCTCACTGAGCCTGTGTCAGTGCACCAGAAAGTAGTACATCCTTCCTGTGCTTTCAGACTGCCTCCTCCTGCAGTTTGCGCTCAGGCAGTGCTGGTAAGCTGGCAGTAAGAGAGTTTGGAGCAAACCTTAACTTACCTCTAAACTTGAAGTTTTTATGGTGATGAATTCCAAGGAGTTCGATCTCAAAAGAGGAGCCATGTATTTTCTTTTCTTTTGAGTGGGATTAATTTTCAGTGTGGTGAGTGGTGTTTTGTTTGTTTACTTTGGTGTAGATTTTTCAGAGCTTTGTATTTTGAGTTGTGAGTGGTTTCTGACATCTCTCTTACCTTTCAATATAAATTTTGCTGGGTATTTTTGTTGGTTTTTTTTTTTTTTTAACTTTTTTTTTTCTTTGAACCTCAACTAGCTAATGTGGTCCCCAAAGAGCTTAACGCATGCTGTGCCAGCTGGCATGCCCTCTGGCTGTGAAGCCTTGTTAAAGAGATCAGAGCTGACAGATTCTTGAGCAGCAATCTGATACAGGCCTTTTTTAAATTTTTTTTTTTATTTTTTTGATTTTTTGAGCTCACCCATGTAACAAATGGGGGCTTGTTTTGTAGCTTCGCTAGAGGCTTGAATGGAGTCATTGTTATCAAAACACTGCTGTGATTCACAAGTGCCCAGAAAGGGGCTTCCTCTCCCTCTTGCCCCTCAGTTGGGCACTGCAGGTGTGGTAGCCCAGCTTAAAACTCCAGTTTTGTCCTTATTCTACAGAATAATCCAGCTGCCTTGTGATTTTCATATTTAAACCGATACAGGAAATTTGAAGCTACAGCTCTTTGCAAAACACTAAAAACGAATTGGGAGAGGTGAGTGAGAGAACCAGAGAAGGTGCTCTTCACGTTGACACTCTGGGGCTAGAATCATAAAAGTAATGTATTACATTGCCAGGCTTTGGCACAGATCAGTACACTCTGTGTTCTTACTGTTACACTGGTGCTTAGATTATGAGTTCCACCAGAAGGCACTTGCTTGGAAGTTTCTGCAGGTGATATAGACTATTGAGTTTTTAACTCCCTCTTCAGATTATTTTTGCCTGTAAAAATGCCATTTTGTCTAACGCATGAAGATCGTGGACATATCAGGGAATCCCAAATAGTCTAATTATTCTATTTCATCTAAAGGGATCAAAAACTGAAAGGAATGTGAGCTGTTTGGGAAGACAGTGACTTGCAATTCTCAGTCTTCTCAGTCAAAATTGAGAATGTAGGACCCAGAGTGGAGTGTTTTGTACGGATTTATGGTACAGGATTGGAATGAAGGCTGCTTTACTTCACAACTGATGTGCCTGGAGCTGTTTATTTGGCGTGTCTTGTATGGAATTCACCTCATAAAAAGATGCGGTATTTATTATGTGGTTCTCTCTAACCTGTGTCTGCTTTGCTGAATTCTGCCTCTCTCTGCCACTGCCTCTGCAGTGAAAACATGTCCCAGGAGCTCTAGTGCCAGGTAAGGATAGTAACATCAGTGCCTTGTATGCAGAGGCAGTGGGGTGGGCAGGGCTTGATGTGGTGGTCCAAAGGCTGTTCCCCCATTTGCTTCTGACAGGTGGCATGTGTTTTTGATACTGAGTTGCCACACTGGCACTCCTTATTGACTCAAACTGGAATTACGAGCTATATTTATATTCTGCAATTCTATGCAGAGGATCAAGTGTTTTCATTTCAGTAACATACACCAAAAAAAAAAGAAAAAAGAAAAAAAAGAAAAAAAAATCCATTTGAATTCCCTTTGTGTATTTTTTGTTATTCCTTCCCTGGTAATTTCTCCTCCTCTTGTCCTTTTTCCAGTAAGACCAGTATATAGAGGCAGAACAGAAAGATGATCAATTGTCTGCCTTGAAGCAAGCGCAGCTTATTGTCAGTAGCTGAGCTGGGCTCCCAAAGCCCGCTCTGTCATGAGAGAGGGCCATTTGGGCATGCAGGCTCCATCCAGTTGGAGTCTGGAAAAAAAAGAGTGTGTTGGTTTTTTTTTAATCTTGATTCATCTTCTGCCTTGCAGTGTGACCTTCAACAAGATTTGCTGTATCAGGTTCTCCAACAGAATGTGGAGTGCAATATACTTTATATTTACAGACTGGTTCACAAGGGCTGGGCTTTGTTGTGCACTGAACAAGCCAAACTACTCTCCTGAGCTTACAGCATAGAAGTTGTTTTGGATGATAGTTAATGATCATTATAAGGCTTGTATGAAGAGCACTCTATTTTCCATTCACTGTTACAAAATTATCAACATTATATCTTTTTGTATAAAATCTGCTTTTTTTTTTTTTTTTAAATCTCTACTTCAAACAATACCAGCAGTGTGGAAAAGAAGCCTGGTGGGAATCTTTGGAGTGGACTTCTGGCCTCATCTATGTGCTGATCTTTTCCCTGACTCAGAAGGATTTTGTTTGTTCAGTAATACACATTACAAAATAAGCATCTGTCTCACAAGTGGTTTCTTTTCTGGTGGAGATGGTTGTTAAAACCCTCACTTATGATATAAAAACCCTTATGTCTGTCTTAAGCTCATGCAAAATCTTCTAATGTTATTTATCAGATGATAACAGGCTTAAGAATGGGAGGAATGTAGAGATGATGAACTGTTTTGTTAGTACTTTTGTTGTTGTTGCTCTTGTGCCTCCTGGTGTTAGAGCTGTGCCAGCCACGTAGGTGGTTAGAAGGGCTGAATGTGGTGGAGCATGCCTGCAGGAGTGTGGGTGCACAAGTAAGAAAGATTTTGAGAGAAGTTTTTAACTGCTGTGGAAGCTCATTGCGAGCACGACTGGGTGAGCAGCATGTGGTTTTCAGGGTGTTCCTGCTGTGCTCAGATGGGCAGCAGATGCTCCCCAAAAATATGCCTGTATCCACACTCGTGTTGTTGCTGTAGGCGGTCCCATTTCTGGTAAGGGAGAGAAACCTACACAGTGGTTTAATGTAATTTTTAAACCAAGACACTGTGTAGTTACTTTCCCTGGTGTTTGTGTTTTAAATGGGTTGGTGTGGTTGGCTTTGCTGAGCATTTTATCCTGGAAAAATAACAACATACGGTGAAATAGTCTGTTGTCATAAACAGAACGCGGGAGGTGAGGGAGCTTCACAACATGAAGCCTTCACATGAGTGGCATGTGAGAGAAGGTGTGGAAGGTTTCAAGAGGTGTTTCTTCTCCAACTGTGTATGAACCAGTTGGCAGCGATGAGCCACACAGTGCAGGGGTAGCTCTTGCCCCCTGGCACCAGTGATACTCAAGGCATGCTGCCGTCACAGAGCAGTGTTTCAGGAACCTTGGAAGAACATGAGTTCCCAGAAGTGAGACTGCCTTGTAGACAGGGCTGAGAACCAAGGAAAGCTGCAGAACAGGAGAGGTGGCAGGAATTTGAAACAGCGTGCTGAGTTCTGGACTTCCATATCCCAAGGTCCCAGGAAGTCACTGGCAAGGAGTCAACATATTGTTGGTAGTATAGTACAGGACAGGAAAGGCACTGTGAGGCTCTGTCCTTCTCCTGTCTATATAGAAACCAACACTAGAATAAAAGCATTTTTATATCGTGTTCAGTGGCATAAAGAGGAGTGAGGGAAGGCTGGATTCCCCAGCTCTGTTTGCTGTGAGGTGTGAGAACCTCCCCCAGGGTGTTGCATCCTTGCATACTGCCAGGATCTCTTTTCCAAAGGATGCGATGGTGGTTCTGCAGCTCTGCCAAGCTGCTGTACAAAGCATGTATGTCATTTCACAGAGAGCAGGTCTGCCTGGTAACAGGCTAGCGATATTGCCCACCTAGCACCTGCTGGTCCTGCCATTTCATTTCAAAGCCATTAAATGCCATGAATTCATACTAAGAATTGACTTTTTCTTTTAAATTGCAGGATGCAAAGAGACGGTGCCATCATGTGAATGCAAAATTGCTAAATGAGAAACAGGACACCTGGGAAGGCTGAGCTGAAAGTGCTTGTGCACAGGATGACAGACTGATTTGCTGTTGAAGACAACACTCAGGAAACCCCCCTCCTCCAAAAGACTTTCTGAGTGAGAGAAGAGGAACAGGAGGAAGCACACAAAAGAGCAATGGGAATTGAGGGCCATGGTTACTTGAGATAAATGGCACATCCCTGGGAGTCTAGCCTGGTAGCTGTTTGCTTTTGCTTTGTCTCTCTCTGCAGCTGCTGTTACTTTTTTGAAAGCTGCTGCTGGGTACTGCCGTGGTGGCACTGGAGATTTGAGGAGCGACGTGGCTGCAGGGTGTGAGGAGGGTGGGCAGCCCGCCTCACCATGATTCAATTGTGGAAAGTAGTGCGGCATGTGCGACAGCTGGAGCTCCACAGGTTGATCCTGCTGCTCATTGCCTTCAGCCTGATCTCCATGTGCATCCTGGCTTACTACGTCACGAACAGTCCCAAAATCAAGGAGCCACCACCCCTGCCCTTCAGTGACTGCAGCAACCAGCACCGCATCTCAATCCCACCGCAAGCCAGCTGGAGGCTTACAAAATCTGTGGACACCTCACGCACGGATCCTGTGGTGCTGGTCTTTGTAGAAAGCATCTACTCCCAGCTGGGGCAGGAAATAGTGGCTATCCTGGAATCTAGCCGGTTTAAATACAGGACAGAGATCGCCCCTGGTAAAGGGGATATGCCAACATTGACAGACAAAGATAGGGGACGCTATGCTCTTATTATCTATGAGAATATCCTCAAATATGTGAATCTAGACGCTTGGAACCGAGAGCTGCTGGACAAATACTGTGTAGAGTACGGAGTGGGGATTATAGGCTTTTTCAAAGCCAACGAGAACAGCCTACTCAGTGCACAGCTCAAGGGTTTCCCCCTGTTCCTACATTCCAACTTGGGGCTGCGGGACTATCACATCAATCCCAGTGCTCCTCTGCTCTATGTTACACGGGCTAATGAGGTGGAGCAGGGTCCCCTGCCTGGTGATGACTGGACTGTATTCCAGTCAAACCACAGCACCTATGAACCTGTGCTGTTGGCCAGCACGAAGTCCTCAGAGTCCATTCCTCACCTGGCCACCCACAAAGCATTGCATGCCACAGTGGTGCAGGATCTGGGTCTGCATGACGGGATCCAGCGGGTTCTCTTTGGCAATAACCTCAACTTCTGGCTGCACAAACTGATTTTCGTGGATGCCATTGCCTACCTGACTGGCAAGCGCCTGTGTCTCACGCTTGATCGCTATATCCTGGTGGACATAGATGATATATTTGTGGGAAAAGAGGGCACTCGCATGAAAGTGTCTGACGTAGAGGTAAAATCCCCAGAAAATCATAGGCCCCAGATGAAATTCCTTTGTGCGCGGTAGGCCAGGAATGTCAAGATTGCATTTAATTTGAGTGAAGGAGTTGATTGCTACAATTTTTCTCATCTTAAACACAGAGAAATAACCTGCAGAGATGCTGAGGCACAGTATGCAGTACTCACAACAAGTTTTCTTCAGGTTTAAATTGAGCATGTGCTTTGTAGGATCTGGCATCTCTGAATCTAAAAGGAGGATGTCTGTGATGGTCTGTCTTATCTCCTTTCTTACAAGGGAATAAGCCTATGTTGAAACCTCTAAAAAAGCTGTAAGGGAAAGGCTGAATACCAGCTATGATGGCAGTAAGCCTATGACAGCAGCTGCCTCAAAGTTGTTTTGGAAACATGCTGAGAAGAAGGGCAATATGTTCTTTCAACCAAAGTTAGAGAATATCTGGGGCATAGATATAAAACAAAGTAATTTTCCGCGTGTGCATCCCCTCACGTGAACTAAACCTAATTCTTAACACGTTTCCAGGAACATTCTCCCTCCTCACTGGGAGTCTTAGCACTTCTTAGGTTTTGTATGCATCCATGCAGAGTGCATCATTCATCTCGTCTCAGTTTTTTCAGGTGTGAGATTTTAAATCATGGTTCTGATGCCAAGTTTAGGTTGGGATCTGTTTAGATCTTGCTGTTTTTAGAGCTCGTTTTATCTTTTTAATTCATTCAAAGCTGGATACTTGAAGCAGCTCTAATTGCAAACCGTTGTTTATTTTACTTGCTCAATTCCTTAATAATCCTTTACAGCCACCCTTGATCATGACTAACTGGGACTTATAAAAAAAAAAAAAATGGAACAATTGTATGTAACTTTACTTGAAAGAAAATGCTAACATTTTCTTCATTTCACTGCAGTATCCCTTTGTTCTGAGATACTGAAATGCTCTGAAAGTGTATTTTCTGAGTGATCATAGTCTTCTCTTGCACCTTCTAGTTCAAACACATGGAGATTCCCAGTTCTGTGTTGTCTGAGCAGGTTACAGACCAGTGTGAGAAAACAGAGGATAGTTGACCAAAGCTTCTGGAGGCAAAGGCTGTTCCAGTGATGATAAAAACAAACCCAGACAAGATAATTCCAAAAGATGCTTTGTTTGGGTTTTAACGGTGAAATGGAGGAATAATCTGCGATCAGTAAGCAGAGAATCTCAGGCAAAGCAGATAAAGCCCAGATTTATCTATTTAAAAGAAGTTCTCTGATTGCAGAGCCATGAGAGGTTAATGAATTTTTATTTTTTAAAAGCAAGAAATAACAACATGGATTTGTTGATAGCCTCTAGCTGTGGGGAGAGGGGAATATAATAGTGATGGAACAGCTGGCATTTTCTTTGGCCTTTTATATAAAAGCTGTGTTTCAAGGCTGCTATCTCAACACACAGTTCCTTATCTTGAAGCTTAGATTACAGTGGTCGGGGGAGTGGTTTGAAGATTGGATGTTGTGTGAAGGTACAAAATTGACTCTGCTATCCCAGTGTGCTTGTTTGCCATATACAGATCCATGTTCAAACAGCTTCCCAGACAAAATGACTATTGAAAGGAAATGCTGGCCAGAATTTGATTGAATGCATGGGTGTCTATGTTAGATGTCTATGAGAGATGTTTTTATTTGTGATGTTTAGAGGAGGACTGATTAGCTTTTTATCTTTAAAAAGAAAAAGAAAAAAAAAAGCAATCTTGTTTGTTTTTACTTTAAAGATGCTCACCCCTTGAGTTCCTGTTTCTGCTGAAGGGCTGGAGCAAGAACTTGCAGTCCTCTACTGAAGTGAACCACTTGGGAGCTGCTCAAGGAAAATGTTTTTCCCTTGTAAAGTTCACCAGGGATTGAACTGCACATAATTAACAAAACAAAATCTCAGAGAATCCTTTCTCTTATCAACAAGTCCACATTCAGTCTGTTGTAAAATCATAATCCTCTGAATTTACCAAACCTCCATGGAACTGGCCAACAAAGACTAATGCAGGAAGGATCTGGCTTTTGTGATCCTTCCTGGTCTGCTTTAGGTATGAGGAAAGAAGATTAAGCAGATGAATTTTTGCCTGTCTGGTGGTAATCTCTACAAGGGCATAAATAGCAAGCAATCATTGCTCCTGATTCTGAGAGCAAGTTAAGTGAAAACTGAGGACTTTGGGTTATTGAATGGTGAGGGTGGAAGAGAGTCTAGTAAGGACAGCTATCAATCAGCTCTCACCTTTCTAAATTGCACATGATAATCTTAGCTGAAATCAAAATACCCAGCAATTCTAACTGCCTGATTCTGGCATTGCTGGGAGCTGGGAACACAAGCACTGAGGGCTTTCTCTTCTGACTGCACTTTTCTGAGCTATGCCAGTGCTACCACCAGGCAATGAGGAAACTGCAGAAGACCTTTTGAGAATGTGCTGCTCTGTGATGGGCAGTCCCACTGAAGGAGGTGTTTCTGCAGCAGTGCTTTGGATGCCTTGGATGCTCCCACTATATTTTGCAAAAGTATTTATTATGTTCTTTATCATTTGTCCAAGGTTTTCCAAACTTTATGGTATCCTCTCATCCTAGCATCCACCTTTCAACCTTGTTTCCCACACTTCTTTTGTTGCTTTTTTAGAGATACCTCAGATAGAGGAGATAATATTCAGGGTTTGTGTGAAGCACTGCAAAAGCTTTTAGAAGATTAAAAAATATGTATATTCATAGGTAAAAAAGCAGAGTGATGTGAAAGTTGAATTCTGTATTAATGTGATGCCTAGATGATAGACTCTTGATGGATTGTGACAAGCATGAAGTCATTCTGAGCTCTCATGGGGTTCTGTTGGACACACCATCTTTTCCTTCTGGGATGAGCCTTGCTGAGTTTCTAGTAGAAAGCAGAGATAGGGAAGGGGCCTTTTGGGCTGGCTCGTATACAGGTATACATCTTGGAAGGATTTTTGGAAAGGAAGACAAAATAGAAATTTGTGAAGAGTGATTTTCGAAGGTAAGAAACTTTTCTTTATAGAGATGGGGAACAGCTGAAATACAAGCTCTGCATCTAGTGCAATTCCTTAAATATGGACTTGAGGATCTGCTTGTATCTGGCTTGTTAAGTAAAAGAGAAACAGAGTGCAGGGGTATCAAGTGAGAAACGCCATCTTCCCAGCCCATTCCCACAGCTGTATTGTTTTGCCTTGGATTGGAACCCATATGCTAGGGAACAGTGGATGGTAGGTGGTTTGGTTTTGGTGGGTTTTTTTTTTTTTTTTTTTTTTTTTTTTTAATGAATTTCCAAATATTTTGCTTGGCACCTTACTCTCTTTGATCCTGTGCAATGAAAGGCATTTATTCAGACGTACTCTGTGCCATGCAGCTGTGAGAGAGACCGAGCATCAGTGCAGGGATGGCACGTGATGAGCAATAAACCCTTCAGGAAGGCAGGGCTCTGCTAGGCTCCACGGGGCTCCACAGTCTCAGAATTGCTAGGGTCCCCATGGACTCTCCCTGGGTCCCTCCCCAGCCACAAAGGATTGCTGCCTGCCAGAGCACAGCTTTTGGGGATTTATCATCAGACAGATGTGTCGTCATGGTAACCCCAGCCAGGCTTTAAATCTCCCTCAGCGCAGAGAAATGCTAAGCCTCTTAGCTGCTGTCTTTCCTCCCTCTACCTTCCCACTCAATCTTGAGGAAGTGGATGTGCCTTTCAGGGCACCAGAGAGAAGTGGAAAGGCGTGGGACAGCTCCAGGGGCAATATGAGGAAGTGGTACTTTCCTGCCTAAGTGTTCCAAGTGCTGATTCTGTGCTGGGAGTAGTGGTGTCACTATTAAGCAGCTGGGCAAACAGGCTCTTCTCTGAAGAGAGAAGCACAGCTCTTAGTCAGCGCTCCCTGTGCCTTGTGTGAAAGGAACTTGATTTCCCACTGCCTATTCAGGAACTTGAGCAGCAAAAAAGATTTCAGCCGTCAGTGCTGCTGGCATGTCACCTTGTTAAGCCCTACTTGCATGTGTAGTGAGTTCTGGAGATGTCATATGCCATACATCTCTCAAAATACCACCCTTGAGTGGGAACTGGGATAAAGGTGTAGTAGTCATGTGGTCACGGAGGAGCTGGGATCTCTGTAGAAATTTCTTCTTGCTGTTGTATGTGTGTGTGGAGATGGGGAACGAGCAGTTAAGTGTTTCTCTAGGGAAAAGTCTGAAAGCTTTGTTATTTGGGGCCATTGGAAAGCATGGGGTGTGTATTCAGCACTGTAGAAATAAACTGTCTGGTCTTTCCACCTTGCCATGTGTGAGATGGATGGGTCGTGGGCTGCTTGTCTTGGGTAAAAAAGTCTCAGTTTAGTCCACTAATCACCTCTCTCCAAGATGCATATGAAAGAAATGGGTGGTTGTGTTACTTAAGTTGTGTTTAAGTTAATGTGATGGTCAGTGTTTGGGTCAACACTATTTTGAAATATTAGTAACAGCAGTGGCTCATTCAGGATACCTTCAGTGGTATATGACAAAAGTAGTTCCTCAGCAGAGTTGGCATTTGTCAAAGCACTTTCCAGTACCTGAGGGGCAGTGTGCCTAAACAGTGCCTATAGATCAGGAGGCACGTGAAGGCAACATTGTTGTGCTCATTTGTGCCCCTTGAAGCAAGAGAAAGACAGCTGATGAAGGAAGATCTGCCCATCTCCTCAGTTCCAAGAAGTCTGTGTGCTTTCTCCTGTGTTATGTGCATGTACATCTGCATTTATCCCAAGGCTGGTGTTAAAGGTCATCACCTTGGTGCATCCACTGCTGAACTGCTTTCTTAGAAAAGCTGTTAAAATATAAATAACTGTGGGAACAGGACCATCTCTGTAACCTGCCAACCACCCTCCTGCCAAGTCCCTCTTTGATCAGGAGCTGCTCCCACAGGGGGCTCCGTCAGTGACACTGTTCCCAACATACAGGTAATAGCAGAGGATGCATTTCAGGGCTTTGATTTTCACTGTTTTCTACCAGAAGAAATCTGACTAGAATTAGTATACATCTTGCTCATGGCATACTGAGCAGCTTTCTTTTCTGTCAAGTCTGTCTGCTGTCTGTTGCTGGACCTTGGGGTTGTGGCACAAGGCTCCTTCCCTTTGGCTATAGCAATTATTTTGGACATTCAAAGCTGAAGGCAAGGAAGAGAGAACCTGTAGGAGAAATCATGACTGTGAATGTCAGCTCACCCAGGATTTTTTTTCCAGAATCCAGGAAAATTTCAAGCCAGAGGTTCCTCCCTGTCATTGCAGGACTCCTTATGTGGGTATTCACATGTGAATCCACCTTTCATCTTCGAATCTTTGCCTTGGAACGCTTAGTTACTCTTTGTGATAGTTATTTTCCTCAGTGCCCCAGGTCCAGTTCTATCTTGCTTTTCTTTAATCCACAGACTTGGAGAAAGGTAAAAGGTCCCCAACTGACAGGGAGGGGAAGGGAGTGTTGAGGTTGATCCTGGGAAGACTGAGGGAGCTGTTGCTCAGAGGTGAGATTTGTTCCTTTGCCTCAGCACAGGTGCTTTGGGTACTTTACAGTGAGGTGAAGAGAATGTATGAGAGATGGATATGACTGTTTTTAAAGCAACATCGTTCAGTAAGGCAAGATGGTACTTCACATAAAGGCTCTATTGGGAACCCTTGGCTTTGTCACTCCACAGGTAACAGTGCCTTAGCTCCATCTCCTGTGACACCTCTTCAGACTGAGCTGGCACCAGTAGAGCGGAGGAATCTTACAGAACAGATTGAGTGTGAACATTTCTTTTTCCTTTCATTCAAACAGGCTTTACTGAGCACCCAGAATAAGCTGAGAACTTTAGTCCCAAATTTCACCTTCAACCTGGGCTTCTCAGGGAAATTCTACCATACAGGTAAGCCTCCGGCACCCCTTTGTCCCAGCACCTGCATATGGCCCACGTGTTTGCGGGAGCTTCATGGTACAGGGCACATTATCATGTAGCTCTGTTGTGGTTCTTGGCAGAAGTGATGCATCTCTTTTACTACTTGCAACTTTTGTCAGCTCCCTACCTTACTCTTTGTGCATGTGCATATGCAATGTGCATGTGCAATGTGTGTAACACATTACTCAGAGCTTGATCCTCTGTTGGAACAACTGCTTAGAAACATTGAGCCCTTCTTCTGCTTTGTCTTTTTGCATCTCCTTGTCTGCTCTCTGTAGGTACAGATGAGGAAGATGAAGGTGACGACATGCTACTCAAGCATAGGAAGGAGTTCTGGTGGTTCCCTCATATGTGGAGTCACATGCAGCCTCATCTTTTCCACAATGTCACTGTGCTGGCTGAGCAGATGAAGCTCAACAAACAGTTTGCTGTGGTAAGGGCCATCACATTCCGTTACAGTACTAATCCTAAAGCATTCTTCCCCTGGAATAGCTGTTCAGACCCTGCTGAAGACAAATGTTAGCCAAGTAACACAGTGGCATTTAAAAAAGCCAGCCCTAAAAGTTTAAATTGGTGCGTGCCTCCTGCTGTCTTCAGGCAAGAAACAGAATTCTCATGCCTGTCTGTGCAGTGTTTCCTGGCACCTGCATGGCCCCAGGCAGCTCCGCCACATTCCAGGGTGCAAATCCCAGGGCTGTAGTTTGCTGAGGTGTGAACTAGTTGTAGCATTACCTTCCAAATCCAATTATTGTATAAACTGGCAGTGAGAAGGCATTTCCTTTCAATCCTTATTCAGACTGGTTTTGTAGGAAGTTATCTACTCTGTCGTATAAAATGCTCTGTGTCCTGGCTCTGGCCTCCTCAGATAATGCTGGAGGGAGTCTTTTATCTAGGAAGTCCAGGGGAAAATCCCTGGTTTTGGCAGAAGAGGAGGGAAACCTTGAACGTCTTGCATTATAGACAATGTCTGCTTCATGCTTACAGCAGAGTTGAATATAGCATGTGTTTGAAAAGATGTGTCCTTTTCAACCCCAGTTTGGTTCTGTTGATGGTAATCTCCTTGGGAATAGCAAGCTGCTGTCTCATGTTTCCATGACACATGCAGAGTTGGAATGATCCCAAATTCAGAGTACAGTTGCAGCATTATAGAAACAATTTCATTTCCTTCTTTTCATGCTTAAGTAACATTGAGGTCTCTTGCTAAGAGAGAAAAGGCACAGAACACAGTTATACATATTTAACATAAGACAAGCTAGCAGTGGGAAGGGAAGGCTGTTGCTTCATTTAGGGACTCTGGTTTTATTGTGTACCACCAGGGCAGAACTGTCATCATTCATATTATTACCAGAACCACATAGTGAAATTAAGAACCATGAAATTCAGTTATCTCTTGTAATTTTAGTATAGCTCTGGGCTCCATATCTTCAGCCTCAACAGCCACTAGTTTCATGCCTGCTTTTCTTTGAATTGCCATCTTCAAGGCAGGCCCCAGCTGTTGTCTTCTTGCCTTCTATGTCAGTTAAAGATATTTTGTTTTCCTGCTCCAGTGGCTCAGACCTAGGCATAGTGTGTGTGAGATGCGTGACTTAACAGCACTGATTAGTTCATTTGTAGTAACCAAGGAGCCTGACCTGAGGCTTTGAATTAATCTGAAGTGTTACACCTGCAAGCTACAAGACTGTTCTTGCAGCAGCTGTTCCAAGTGCTGAACATTCTTGTTGGTCCAGAATCGCCCTTCCTATTTCTACAGGTACATAATGCAAGAAGTATCTCAAGTTCCCAGTCAAGAGAGATGTCTTTTTACTCTGTCCTCTTGGCTCCAGCTTGGAAACTGTTGCTTAATGATCCTTAGTAAGAATAATAATTAAGTATTGGATGATCAGGATGTGTATTCTGCTTCCAGGAGCATGGGATCCCCACAGACTTAGGCTATGCTGTAGCCCCCCATCATTCTGGGGTTTATCCTGTCCACACACAACTCTATGAGGCATGGAAATCTGTTTGGAGCATCCAAGTAACAAGCACAGAGGAATACCCACATCTGCGACCTGCCCGGTACCGACATGGATTCATCCATAATGGAATCATGGTGAGCACAGCTGGGTGAGCAGAGCCCACAGGCTCCTGAGCAGTGCACATTTTCTTCCCAGGGGATGCTCTCCTAATGACCTGCAGCAAAAACATAAATCTCAGTATCATCCATATTTCCAAAATTATTAAGTGAAGTAAAGAAATGGAACTTGGCTACAGTTTTTTTTATTTCTTAGTAGAATTCAGAGGTCAGTTCTTAACAGAGAGCAAAATTAAGCATGACAAGATTAAATTTATGTCCCAGTCACTTACTTGTTTGCTAAGTGCTGTGCTAAGTAAATGTCTGGGAGGAATATCAAAGAGTCCTCTGAAACTATGTTGCTTATATCCCTTACTCTTCATATTGATCTGTATAGTACTGCTTAGACACATCCATGTATAGATTTCTGTTGCATCTGCCTCTTACCTAACTTTTCTTCTATATTGTCAGGTTCTGCCTCGACAGACCTGTGGCCTTTTTACTCACACTATCTTCTACAATGAATATCCTGGTGGCTCAAAGGAATTGGACAAGAGCATTCGTGGTGGTGAACTCTTCCTGACAGTGCTCCTGAACCCAGTAAGCTCATCTTCAAGGGGGATCAATGTCTGAGTGTCTCAGCTTATTCACATGATGTGGAAAAGGATTAGATCTTGAGGCTGATTCAGTGCAATAATAAAAATAATAATTGCAGTGTGGATATCTTCAGTGTGAGGCTAAAGAGATGTGAAAGAGAAGGCCAAGGAAGCTATAGCTATTTAAAGTTTCTTTGCCTTAATCACTGCTAAGGAAGAAGTATTGAGTGTTGGCAAGTGCAATAGTCCTCATCTAGAAATGAGCCAGGGTGATGTGCTGAGTGTGGCCCAGAATGCAGTGTGTTACCTACACTGCTGCACCTTCTTGAATTATTCGTGAGATGTGCCTTGGTACCTTCTGTCCCACACACATCTGAATCTTGTTGGCTCATCCTCAGGCTCACTGGTGAATTTTTATTGTAAGTGCTTTCTCTGGGCTTTTCTTAAGTAATGTACTTCCCATCCTTTCAGAATGCATATACTGAAAGTAATTACTATGTATGAGAGTGTATGCTGTTTTTTGTGATGTAGCTGTCACCCTAAGGCATTTTTGGGATATCTGTGTCTGACACAGCTGTTTCTCATTTAATGCTTATCAGTTCCATCAAGACACCAAGCTACTGTACTGTAGTACCTTGAACACTATGTAGCCCCTTCTCAATTTTTAGCAATGGAAGGCAAATGACATATTTCTCACTTCCCATTGAAGCTGGGACGATGTGCTAGGTGTCAAAAGACAAGAAAAAAAAAAAACAACAACCAAAAAAACCCCCCAAAAGCAGTCATTAAAAAAAAGTCCTAAATGGGTAGGAGATTAAGCTTTGTAGTCCTCTCCAAGTGTAGATCACACTCCTTCACTTTCATGCTCATTGGCTGCTGTCCTTTTTGTCTGATCCTATGTATGATAGCTTTCTCAATTCTGCTCCTGAATTTATTTCTTTCTACAGCTGATTTGGCTCCTATTGTCATCCATTTATCTGAATGAACATTTTCCTGCCATGTTTAGATAGTGATTTTTGAAAAATCTACTTCCATGGCCATTGCTTGATCTTGTCTTTTCTTAGAATTTCCAAGTTTCTGCCTTCTTACTTCTCCTATATATATCTTTTCCATCAGTGCCCAAGTTTGGTAAGAACATATGCAAGTCAGTCCAAGAGAGAGCAGCTTGTTTCTGACTAGGTGTGAGCCATGGAGTGGAGTGCTGGTCGCAGTCACTGAGTACTTGTTTTGTCAGATTTGTCATGCAACATCAGTGACTGTGCTCACCATGGTATTTTTTTTCATTCTCTGCTTCCTTTGGATATTGATTGTAGGGCTGAATACAGAGCTTTTAGCCACCTCTGGCTGGAGCTGCAGAGGCTCAGTGAATCAGAAAATCAAACTTCTTCTCTCAGTGAGTTTAATTTTTTTTTGTTTTCTCTTTTTTCCTAGAGCTTTGTGCTTCTCCAATCCTAGAACCATGGTACTGAAAAAAATCCTTGCAATGTATTTTGGGTGCATCACACACAGGTTGTAGTTTACAAACAAGTCCTGGATTTCTGAGCATTAGCCTGTGACCAATTCTGGCCTGGTGTATGATCTGTAGAAGTTAGGAGTCTACAGTAGCCCTAGCTAAAAAGCTGGTCCTCCCCACCACAAATAGAATTATTAACTTTACGCACAACCAGCAAATTCACCTTAATAAGAGTCTTTCATAAGGAGAAAGCTATTCTTGGCTTTAAATATGGAGTGATCTTTGCCATCGTTGGTCAGACTGAAAGTGAAGCTTTTCTGGATCTCTCTTCCCATATGTAGAGTTCATTTCACCTCGTCCTACTTTGTAATAGCTAGATTTTAAAGAAACAAATAATCACTGCGAAACTTACGAGCTCTAGATCTCTCTTGGAAAACCAGTTGCCAGACTAATTAAGAGGACATTGCTGGTCTAGAAGGCTGCGTCAAGAAATCTTTTAAAACTTAGTTTGTAGATCCACCCGTTAAAATTTACTGATAAGCATGTGAGTATTGAGGCAGCTGAGGGTGATTTATGATCCAAAAAAGCTTGGGAAGATTGTGCTGTGGTACAGGATTGCCTTACTTGCCAGTTACTCTGTTGGCTCTTTGACTTTCAAAACTTAGATGCCTTCAGACATTTTGTATGTTTACTTTCCCTTCCTTTTGGCAGTGCAGCATTCCTCTCTCTGTCAGCAGTGGAGGACCGTGCTTTAAGCTCCTTTTCATTCATTGCGCAGTGATTCAGACTCTTGCATTCCTCCCACTCTGATAGAGCCATCTCAGAGAGTTGATAGAATGCTGGCCAGCCCCGCAGTCCCAGCAGTGATCCGCAGCAGACTTGGACCAGTGTCTCTCAATCCTTTGTGGTGCTTCCAGCTCTCTTTGAGTGGGTATACATATGCAGGAGTCTCCAAGCCTGTGTGCATGCGATTAACTCCACAGTGCAAACAGATGATGTTTGATCTTCTGACTAGTGAACAAGGTCTGATGTCAGTGAAGAGAATAGTTGTTGATGTTTAATGGACAGGCTGCCTTGTGCCCAGTCTGTTTCCCAGAAGCAAAGGACATCTTTCTGATCGTTTCCATGCCGTTGTTGATTGTGGAAGAGAGTGAGAGAGGAGGGCTGTGTGACCATTGAACTAGTCCTGTGTGTTACCAATTGTGGATGGGAGAGAGAAAGAAACAGAAATTGAACGTAGGTTATGTCAGAAGTCGTACTTGGAGCTGTTTTGCTAACAGTAGCTGTGGCAATGCACTGCAAGCTTTCAAGCCTTGTTTACCAGTGCATATGTTACAGGGTATGACTGCACACTCAGAAACACGAGGAAATGGTTGGGCTTGTCTTACCTTCTTGTAAGCCATGTTGCTGGAGATTCTGCAAATGACAGCATTGCTTGTGTGAGCATGGCTGGCATAAATATTTTACTGAATACAGTTAGTCTTGAGACATGGTTGCTAGCCTTGGTCACATGCAAACCATTTTTTTATTCTGGAAACCCTGCAAGTGTCCTAGATAGCGACCTGCATCCTCCCTGCTTGGATTATGTCAGTGAGAAAGCCACTTTTTGCAGCAAAGTTTTTCTCTAAGTGTTCTACCAGGAAATCAAAGGGATGAGCCACCTTTGCTGTCACACCATCTTCCTGGTGTTTGTCAGAATTGGGCAAAAGACAACACGGCGTACATCCTTTTGCCTTCTGATTTTCTCCACGATGTGGCCCAGATCTTTCTGTGTTTTGCTGTGTTTGAAGAATAATAGAATCCTTAGAGTTGGAAGGGACCTTTAAAGGTCATCTAGTCCCAACTCCCCTGCAATGAACAGGGCGTGCACAGCTCGATCAGGTTGCCCAGGGCTTGATCCAGCCTCACTTTGACAGTCTACAGAGATGGGGCATCAACTGCACCTCTGGGCAACCTGTGTTCCAGTGCTTCACCACTCCCACAGTAAAAGATTTTTTCCTTATATCCAACCTAAATCTATCCTCTTTAAGCTTGAAGCCATTTCCCCTTGTTCTATCAGCACAGACCCTGCTGAAGAGCCTGTTCCTTTCTTTGCTGTAGCTTCCTTTTAGATACTAAAAGGTTGCTATCAGGTCACATGACAGCCTTCTCTTCTCCAGCTGAACAGTCCCAGCTCTCTCAGCCTGTCCTTAAAGGAGAGATGTTCCATCCCTTTGATCATTTTTGTGGCCCTCCTCTGGATGTGCTCCAACAGATCCATGTCTCTCCTGTGCTGAGGACTCCACATCTGGACACAGTACTCCAGGGGAGGCCTCACCAGTGCAGAGCAGAGGGGCAGGATCACTTCCCTCTCCCTGCTGGCCACACTTCTTTTGATGCAGCCCAGGATATGGTTGGCTTTCTGGGCTGTGAGGGGGCATTGCTGGCTCATGTCCAGTTTACTGTCTGCCAGTATTCCCAGGTCCTTTTCAGTAGGGCTGTGCTCCATCCCTTCGTCCCTCAGCTTGTATTGATAATGAAGGTTGCCTCGACCCAGGTGCAAGGTCTTGCACTTGGATTTGTTGAACCTCCTGAGGTTCTCCTGGGTCCACTCCTCAAGTCTGTCCAGTGACTTTTGATGGAATCCCATCCCTCTGCACCCCACAGCTTGGTCTCACCAACAAACTTGATGAGGGTGCACTTCACCCCACTGTCAATGTCGTTGATGATGATATTAAAGAGTATCGGTCCTAGCACTGACCTGTGAGGGACACCACTCATCACTGATCTCCATCCAGACATTGAGCCACTGACCACCACTCTCTGGACTCGATCCTGCAGCACATCGTTTTTACACAGCAGCACCAAGTGCAAACACTTGAAGTGTAGGTGCCAGAACCTGCCTGGCAGGGCTGCTCCATCAGTTCAGTGGGAAATAAGAAGTGAAAGATTCACAGGCAGGCAAATGTGATAAATCCTTAACTCTGCTCAGTTTCTTTGTGTGGTAATGCTACCACTGTTTGCTGCTGCCTATTCAAAGGTAGAGTAGGATTACATTAATTTTCAGTGCCTTGGGGAAGGTTTGGCACAAAGTACCAGAAGTACCTCTAGTTGCACTAAGACCATTCCATGGTGCCACTGTGCAGAGACTGAATTCAAGCATCTGTACTGCCGCAAGTGTATTCATCCAGTGCCATCCGTATCCTCCTTCCTTCTTTTCCCTGCTGTGAGAGGGAAGGCTACTCCTGCTCACTGCCAGAGCGGTGTTTGGTTGCCTGCTGACATCACCTGGCACCATCAGCAGGTTCAGCAGTGGGTGCTTGGAGAGAGGCAGGGAAACTCCCATTCTTCCAGGTGACCCTGCAAATAGCAGGAGGGTTGAAACTAGATGATCATTATGGTCCTTTTCAACCCAGGTCATTCTATGACAAGATTCTATGATAAAACAGGCTTTGGAAGTTTTAGACTAGGAGAGGGTGGCTGATTAACCTTTGTTTCCCCTCACTGTCCCAGAGCCACTAGAGTGGGATTTTGAGCTTATTCTGGACTCACAGGCAGTGCTTAGCCTCTACAACCATTTCCAGAGGTTGCTAAGAAATGCCTGTCCCTCCTCTTCTTAGTTTCTGCTACTCTGCAAGCACTAAATTTCTTTTGTTTTTCATCAGCACAGTGCTTGCTGTACACTGGCAGATGCATGTTTGTCAACCAAGACCGCCAGGGCAGTTTGAGGTGTGAACAGCCTCTTCCTTGACAGTACAGTCAAGTCAGGAGGAAACAATACTGTTATCTGATTCAGCAGTTTCCCATGTCCTTATTTTCAGATCAGCATCTTCATGACCCACCTGTCTAACTATGGGAATGACCGCCTGGGACTGTACACTTTTGAGAGCCTGGTCAAGTTTGTGCAGTGCTGGACCAACCTTCGCCTGCAGACACTGCCCCCAGTCCAGCTTGCAAAGAAGTACTTTGAAATCTTTCCTCAGGAGAAGAATCCCTTGTGGCAGGTGAGAAAACTGTTCTAATCACTCCTCCTGGATTTCCTAGATCTATGTTCCGTATTTAAAGCAGAGGAACTGGTGATCCAGAGCACAGAGTGGTAATGCATGAAGGTTTTAGGTTTAACCTTTGTGGCTTCAGGCTGGAAGTGGAAGGGAAGGGGGTAATGGTGTGAGCTTAGGAACAGGAAAGGCTGGTGAAAATGTTTGGAAGGAGGGCTGTAGACATTTGGGTCATTAAAAAGCTTCAATAGAGCAAAGTGCTGTGAAATGCTAAGTGTATGAGGAATAACCCTGTTTGTTGCTCAAAGAGCTTTGCAGGCATGTTAACATGATTAATCTTAAAGTAATTTCACACCACAGAATTCATGTTCATTAAATAAAAACATGTTTATTCCATTTTATCCCAGAGCAGCAGCTCTGCCTGATAATGAGCAGATGAAATTAACTGAAGGTGATAGAGTTGTCTGCCAGCCAGCAGTTCACAGATGCTTAGCTGTACTATCGTGGTGGCCCAGCCCAGTGTGGCTACACAGGGCAAGTCCTGTGGTTTACACTCTCGGAGGGACTTTGGCTTCTGGGTTGCATTGGGCTTTTGAAAAATGTTCCCTCCTGCTTTTATCTAACTCACAGCGTGGCTGTGAAGTGTTCCTCATATGCTAATAGCATCTTCCCTAGAGGACTGCCTTCCAGCTTCTCCTCCCCTTTTCATTAGCTCCTGTGCTAATGCTTAATCCCATCACTTACGCTGCAGAATCCCTGTGATGATAAGAGGCACAAGGATATCTGGTCCAAAGAGAAAACATGTGATCGACTCCCCAAGTTCCTCATTGTGGGACCTCAGAAAACTGGTAATGTGAAAACTTTATCTAAAAATAGATTGCATCTTTCATCTCATTCCTCCAGAGAGGAGAACTGGAAAGGTCTGTGTTGTAGATCTGTATTGCTGCTCTTCATACAGTCTGCCAAATGTCCACAGAGGACATTTCAGAGAATCTCAAATTTGTTCTTAACAAAATCTGGCAAGTCTGTTGCTTTGAGCCCTGACACTTTCTTAGCACCAGTCCTTGTTTGCAGGGAAAAAACCCAGAGTTGTGTTCTGGTTTTTCCACCCAAGCTCAGAGAAGCTGTGACCTTTCTTAGTTTGTCCCAAGACATAGGCTGTCAGCAGGACTAAACACACGCTCAGCGAAGGTTACAGTGAACGTCCCTTGGTGCCTTTATTGTGACAGATCTGTGTACCCGCTGCATACTCATGTCACTGTCAGTAGGAGGCTGAGATCCTCTTTTGTTTGACCTCTGTCACCACCTCTTAACTGCTGCAGCATTGTGGTTGGCAGTGACATGACTATGTGTGTGTACTGTCCTGAGAAGTCCCTTCTAGCCTGAAGAGAGCAAAATCTCTTCAGCCAAAGCCAGATCTTCGGACCTCGGCTTTCTCTGTAGTGCAGTGAAACAGCAGGCACCAGCCCAGCCCAGCAAATGGTGATCCTGGCCTAGAGCAAGAGGCTTGCCCAGGTAAACTTTTGTCTCTGGCTTGTGTAACTGTGAAGCTCTGTTGGCATGTGTGCAGCGTAGGTCCTCTGGATCATGGTCCAGGCTGCTTGCAACTGCACAGTAAGAAAACCTTGTCCTGGCATCTGATTTATTGACCCATGAAAGCCCTACAGCTGGGGGCAGAGTAGGATTATCAGGCTTGGCTGGGTAAGGGGAAAACATTCACAGCAGATTCAGGCCATGCTATCTCTAACTGAATTCCCATGTGAGGAAATTAATGTCCCCAGTGCATCTCCTCCCTGAATGTATGATATTGTCCTGCAGCGCCCGTGTCACCTTTTGGTTGACAGGTATGAGTTCTGCCACATAGGAGTGTGGCTGCACTGCTGAGACAGGTGGCAACAGCCCAACTGCCTCAGTGCAGCTGACATGGATGACAGTTGTGCTATCCGAAGTGTCTTAAATCAGCTGCATGAGTTGAAGTCTGGGACTGAACTATTGAGCCATGCTCAGTTTCAAAGTGTTTGGTGTCTCTGCTCTTGAAGCCTGCATGAGGAGTGGGTTAGCCATGTACGGCAGGAGTGTGTCCACTGGGTGCCTTGCAGCAAAGATAAAGCTTTTGATTCAGCCAAACATTATGTGCGAGTAGTTCCTGCTATCTTGTTCCTGTTGCAGGCACAACAGCTGTGCATTTCTTCTTGACCATGCATCCAGCTGTCACCAGTAACTTCCCAAGTCCATCCACTTTTGAGGAGATCCAGTTTTTTAATGGACCCAACTATCATAAAGGAATTGATTGGTAAGAATCCTGACGTGTGTTCTTCTGTCATAAGTTGCACCTGTATTGTCTTATCCTGAATGTTCTTGTATGTCCATCTCAGCCCTCTTAGTAGCTTCTCCATTTCTGTTTGTTTGTTTTCATTGCTACTGCTCAGCACATGTTTGCCTCCTAACCCAACTGCTTGCTTGCAGGAATAGGACACATAGTTTTGATCTTAATGTCTGCTCACCAGCAGATACCTAGGGGTGTTATGGAGCTTTACAAATTAGAGAATCTGTTGAATCCACTATTATCATGAGATTTCTTCTCCTTTGACAAGCAAAACAGGCAACAATGTGCTTGTTTAAAAGTTCTTTGTGGTTTCTGAGTTGAGACATACAGGACAGAAGGGAGGACCTCTATACTGTTGTTCTGAGCCCATTAGATTTACAAAAATATCACTACATGCTGCACATTGTCTACAGTTTCTCTTTGGCCACATGCACACCCTCACCTTTACCTGTACAAGTATGCAATTACGATGAAGTGCTTCCACCTGGCAGGGAATACAAGCCGCTATGGCACTATTATGCTGCTTCTCCTCTGTTGAGGAGAAGCAAAGACATCATTTTGCTGTGTGCCATTTCTTTGCTGCGCCACTCTGCTCACCAGTGTCCTTGTCCATTTGGCAGGTACATGGAATTCTTTCCAATCCCCTCCAATGCCAGCACAGACTTCATGTTTGAGAAGAGTGCCAATTATTTTGACACAGAGGTAGTACCAAAACGTGGTGCAGCCCTGCTTCCTCGAGCCAAAATCATTAGTGTTCTGATCAACCCTGCAGACCGAGCCTACTCATGGTATCAGGTAACTTTTCCATACTGTTTTGTGGATGAGCACATGAGAAATATTCCAGTAGGGTGAGGCAGAAAGCCACAGATCCACTTCCGTAGGGAAGCCAGGAAAGATGATACAGACTGGAGAGCGTGGACAAAGTTATGTACAAAGGCAGTGGTGGCTGTTTGTATTGAGTCAGTGGGGTGTGCAGAGATGGCATGAGGAGGGAGGAATTTTGTTTTCCTGCTCCTTAATTCAGCTTATGTTTTTCAGCACCAGCGAGCTCACAATGACCCTGTGGCACTCAATTACACCTTTTACCAAGTGATCTCTGCAAAATCCCAGGCCCCTCAGGAGCTGCGCAACCTGCAAAGCCGATGCCTGCTCCCTGGCTGGTATTCCACTCACCTGGAGCGCTGGCTAACGTACTTCCCTTCTGGGCAGGTAGGAGGTGTAGCTGCAGAGTGAAATTGATTAATAATGCTTTGGCAGTGCTGACCTTGAAAGAGATCATGCAAAATTTCTGGGTGTAGGAGATGAACGCTGCTGTCTGGCCTGAAACTAAGATGACAAAGCAGGAACTGGTCTTAAGGAGTCCCTTTTAGGTTTAGTGTAGAGGAGCAGAGAACAAATCTCTGTTCCTTCCTCCCCTGCTCCTTCTCTTTTCCCAGATCCCTTCCCCTCAGTCCATTTATATTGTTTTCATTTCACCCCTTCTCTTATCTTTTGAAACAGGAACCACCATTTACTTTTCCTACTGCAAGCCAATAAGAAATCGGGCTTAAATACTTCAATTTTGCACTTTACTGTATTTGTAAATGTAAATGACTACAAGATGATAGTGTGATCTCTCAGACAGCTCCACAGGCTTGAGATGTTCAGGAAGAACAGCAGTATCAGCACTCCCTTCCTTTCATCTAGGCAGCCTGCAGCCCTGGGATCCCCTACAGGCCCAGCTGGTGTTCATCCGCTTGCTGTGGTTTCATAGCTTTAAAGAGAAGCTCTTAGACTCTGCCACTTGTTAGCTTCCAGGTTGTGAAGTCTTTAACTGTCTGCAGAGGTTTAACTTTGCAAAAGGTCAGTTAATATACACTGCAGACCATTTCTGTCTCAAAATTCCCAAGACATTTATAAACTAAGACGTTATGAGTCAGAAAATATTTTTTCAATTTCTTTCTGATACTGCAGTTATCCTCAGACAGTCTATATTCCAGCAGTCTTACAATGCCCATTAGTCTCTTGAGATTGCTGCTTTGGCAGTCAGTAAAGGTACATGATAGATCTGCCAAGACTAAAATTAGAGAGAAGGGAAAATAAATCAGAGACCTATATCTCTGTTACTGTCAGAGTAAGACTACTGCAATTCAGCTATTTGTCATGGAATAATTAGCAGAAAGAGTAACTGATTGGTGCCACACTGCAAGGAGAAGTTGTAGTGAGTAGATCCTTCAAGACAGCACGATGTGTAGCCAGAAGTTATTGTATTAGTCCTGCAACCTGTGTCTTCTTTGCATGAGAATTAAGAATTAAATCAATAGCTCAGCCTGCCTCTTTCATAAAACTAATGCAGGAGCTGGTTACTGTGTTCTTCCATGTCTGTGGAGCTGGAGTAGGCAAACAAACATTGATGTTCCTACATAAAATATGCCATCACTTTCTTGGGCTTCAATGTTACTATTCCTGGAGATCACTGATGTGAGTAATAGAGCCAGGGACACCAATTGGGAGATAAAAAGGGAAAGAAAATTGTATTGCATGGCCACTCTTTGTGGTGTTAGCTTTGCGTTGGCACACCATTCCTATACTTGCTAAGGGTCAGGGTCTCCTACATTCCCCAGACTTCAGTGCATGACTATTTTTCTTTTCAATAGTTGATATATCAGCAAAGTGCTGTTCTTTATTGTGTATTATATGTATGTGCAACAGGAGAATAATCTTAAGTTATGGCAGAATACTTAATGATTGACATCTGAAAAAAGGATACACAAGACAATCTATAAATAATGCTATTGCTGGACCTGAATACTGGCTTACAGGGAAGACTGGCCAAAGACAAGTTATCAGCCAAACTCTGTTGGAATCTACTGTCCTGTAATATTTGTGGCCCTTATTGTACTTCTCTGTCTGCTACATCCTTCTCTATTGTGTGGTTCCAGAATAAGCAGATACCAGTAAGCTATACTCACATGAAGGAAGGCAGTGGAGTTTTGAGAGCTGGAAAGCTCAGCACGAGCTGTCAGAGGCTAAGGTGGCTGGTGTTATTTCATTTCAGATTCTCATTGTGGATGGTCAGGAGCTGAGACACAACCCTGCCTCCGTAATGGACAACATCCAGAAGTTCTTGGGAGTTACACCACTCTTCAACTACACTCAGGCCCTGAGGTAGGGAAGTAATTTTTGGACAAGCTACTTTTTTAGCCAAGTGCAATACAATAAGCATTTGATTGGTACAATATATCTTATCTCTGACCACAAGGTCTGCAAAGGTTTCAGAGGTATGTCTAAATGTTAAAATTAATTTCAGGTGGCTGTGTCTGGATGGCATGAGACACTGGATTGGACTTGTAACTTAGTCCAACGAAATGAAGGGGGAAGGGCTGTTTTTTGGCACTGTCGTGGAGAGGTGTGAAGTTGCTCACAGCAGAAATTACAGTGTTTTTCATTTGGTCTTTGTGGTTTCAGAAAAGGTGCTGAAGCTATTAGAGCTCATTATGCTTTGTGTTTCTTACACCTTGAATCTGGCAGAAAGCAAAGAATTTGGGATAAAAATGAATGACAGGCTGCTATTCAGCTTGATGGAGATTAGAGACACAGCAGAGAGTTTTGAGATAAGAGTCTATTATTACAGAAGATGTGGACTTGACAGCCGAGTCCTAAGGAACTGTTAGCAGAGGCAGTACCTCATTGCTACCAAGTTGAAGAACATTAGTCAGCCATGACTACGCTGTTCTGCACAGTGCAGTGTGAATAGGTTAAGTAAGTGCTAGCTGAAGGTGAACAGAGTTGGTATCAGTCTTCAGTGGCAAGCCACTGGAAATCTGGAATGTTGTTCTTTGCTGCTGAAACCTGGCTTTTCACACCTTCTCTGCCATCTCAGCCCATGCTAGCTGAGGGTAATAGGTGTGTCTGTGTATGTGTGTAGGCACACTGCAATTGCTCTTCCTTTAACAGTAAGGATAGGAGTACCAATTTAGGCCTCTTCCTCCAGGTGTTTCCAAAAGGAGTGGCACACCCCAGGGTGTGCGGATCTAAAGAAATGTAAGATTACTTGGAAGCCTTACTTGCAGAAGCCGTCACAATCAAAAAAAAAATCATGACAATAAATTAAGGATTGAACTGGGAAATACCTATGAAGCTGTTAAGTTTCTGCAGCTACTAATTGGGTATGTGGCCGTATCTTCTAAATATCAGTGTCCTTTTCAGATTTGATGAAGCAAAAGGATTTTGGTGCCAGCTGTTAGATGGAGGAAAGACAAAATGCCTGGGAAAGAGTAAAGGAAGAAAATACCCTGACATGGATTCCTCGGTGAGTAACTTTCTCAAATTAGTTAGCAGCAGCAGCTGAGCTGTATACACATGGAATGCAATGAGCATACCCACCTGGATTTTTCTACTGCCAGTGATAGGAAATGACCTGAAGACCCCTGCCACAAACACGGTAAGAGTGACATTTTCTTTCACGCTAATGTAGTCTGTCTTTTCCATGCAGTCACGGCTGTTCCTAAGAGACTTCTACCGGGAGCACAACATTGAATTATCCAAGCTGATGAGCAGACTTGGACAGCCCCTTCCAACCTGGCTCCGAGAGGAACTGCAGAACTCCAGCTGGAGTTGAGAGGGACTTCCCTGTTCCCAGTGCCACTGGGATGTGTGGTGCTCCAACATGTGCTATGATGCCATCTCTCGTCAAGCCAAAACAAGTGGACAAATGAGCAGTAGCAGAGAATGTGCATGTGGAGCCTTTCCCCACCACTGGGAAGGGCTGCTGCTTCTGACACTGTCCTAGGGCATGGAGTGCAAATCTCATTCTGGAGTATTAATGGTGTGTCACACTTTGACTCTTACTTGCAGGAAGGATTTGTAATGCCTGTCCTACTTTGAGCAGGAGCAAGAGCACGGTTAACACTTTATGTTTAAATTACTCTTCTCAGTATATGAAACAGGCACTAGTTGGAGGGTTAATGTCTTTCACCTCTGAGTCCAGAGAAAAAGATGTGAGAGGCAAGATACAGAGCCCGCTGATCAGAAAAGGGGAATCTGCTCCAGTGAACCTCAGCTTTGATCCAGTAATCTATTATTTAGCAACAGCAAGGTACAAGAACACCTCTTTCCTCCCCCCTGTAGAGTACAGTGGCCATGACCATTACTTACAGTGCCACGGTGTGTGTGCTGGGGACGACACCATCTTGGAGACACAGGCCATCTTATGCCTGTTAACATGTCCTTATCTGCAGCCTTGCTGGTGCAATACGGTGTCCAACAGCTCTGGTCCATGGGCAGTGGGAGATAAGGCAAAGCTGCAGATACTGACACCAAATTAATTTCCTGTCTTAGGGAAAAGGTTGCCATACATGACAGCATGGCAAGTATTTCTTTCAATGTCTTCAGCCATTTCAGAAGATACCCAAGGAATGATAAGTCAGTCCCCTTGAGCACTTTGGAGGCCTGTGTTAGCAGAGCACAGTAGCTGGGGGAGACAAAGCTCAGGTAGTGTTGAATAAGGCTGAAAGTAGACAGTTCAGTTTCCCCTGTCTGATTAACTTAAAAATGTTGCTTTTTTTTCAGTCTATCCAGCAGCTGCATGGCCTCTACCATGTATGCTAATACTTGTTTAATCCCCCTGCAGTCCAGCATCCTCCTGCAAGGAGAAATAAAAAACCCAACCCACAGTAAGTACCACTAAGATATACAGGGAGGGCTTAGCATTTTTAAGCAAGAATGTGGTTTCCTGTATCCAAAAGGGGCTGTTTGTTTAGATTACTATTTCTGCACACAGTCAATACTTTAAGTACACTACGGTGCTGTGCCTCCTCTTGCAGTTGCTGGATAATTTTTCTCAGAGGAAATCCTCCATCATGGTTGTACAGTTTCCGTTGCTGAGCCATGGGCTTCTGAAGTTGTGTGGGCTGTTGTCCCTCCCTCCTGGGCACAGATGGACCTGTCTTGCTGCAGTTCCAGAGAGGGATAGGATCCATGTGAACACAGGTTATGGAAATTTCTACAACTGTCACAAGCTCCTTTTCACCTACCAGAGGAGAAAAGTTGCTTCAACCAAGCTTTTCCATTGAGCCTTAGGTATTGTGTATTTCCAATTGAATGGTGCATTTACCGTTGTATGTAAATGTATATAGTATGCAATATAGTATTTTATTTCATGTGCCCTTGGAAAGGGTTATTTTGTGCAGCCAAAAAAAAAAAGGACAAAGACTAGAAACCCCTCTCTCAGTCCTGTTAGAGAGAAGAGCCCAACTTCCTGCACTGGATCATGTATAGCATCATTCACATTGAATGATAATGAAGAAATTCCTGGCTCTCAAAACTGAGCACAAGTGTCTGAATAAAGGCTAGAAGTAGTAGTAAGTGGATTCAATAAATGTACTACTTATTTTTCTTCCTTGTGATGATTTGGAGTGATGATGATTTGGAGTGATGTCGTGGATCGTAAGCTGGTAGAAGGATAAAGAAAAACCCTGGAAAACATATTCCGGTTCTTACAGCTGATATTTGAGAGGGCAACAAAAGTGTTTGCTTTAATTATAATGGAAATGTCCTTTTGCAGCTGTAACAGTGTAGTAAAAATGTCTTTCTTGATATGTGCAACTGGAGGCTTACAGAAGCCAGTACAGCACAGAGAACCTGTGGTTGGATACTCACCCTTATTGGGTTGCACTAGTGATGAATTTTGAGCTATTTCCAGCTACTGCAGTAACTCCCAGCTGCTGTGCTGCAGCAATAGAGCTTTGCTCTGTCCTTGCTGTCCAGATGTGCAGCCATTGCATGGCCTTGGCCAGCAGCCCACGAGTAATCTGTGATAACACAGAACCTTACATTCAAGACAGAGCAAAACATTCTTTAAATAGTCACAGTTGTGGCAGAATTATAAAATAGCCTTTCACCTCTCACTTTACCAAGCGCTTCAGAAACAAACATAGCATCAGCAAAACAGGTATTTTTTACATACTGCCATACTGGGAAGAGCCCAGGACCGATGGTACTGCTGCCCCATTACACACAGAGCTTCCTTCCTTCTCTTAATTCATTACAGGTTCTCTTTTACATATTTACCTCAGAGCTGTGATAAATATTCAAGTAGATGGATTCAAACACTGGGAAAAAAAAAAAAGTCAAGATACTAGGAACAAAGTTGGAAGGGACTTTACTAAATGTCAGGGCTGTTAGCTGACAATAGTCCTTCAATCAAGGCAGCAAAGAGCAGCTCCGTGTTCTCATTATTTGTCCTTCCATCCCCACTGATTTCTTTGTTGCTGTGCTGGCTTTTTACTGCTTACAGCAATGGAGAAACAAATCACCTGCTATGTCTAGACCATGTCAAATGTATGATGTCCTTACCTGATGTAGCCAGATACAATGATTACTTGATCCTGACACAGTCACTTACTTGCTACTGACCCTTACAGCTCATTTTGACAGTGGAACTGAGTTGCAAATAAACTTCATCTTCTTGCCTCACTATTTAGTAAGGAAGAACTTGACAGCAAGTAGTTAGTTTTCAAGACAAGAAAAATGTTAAGCATAAGACATTACCTGAAAATTATTTTGTAATGGATTAATGTTTTCTTTTTTTGGCATAGGAAACTGAGTCATCAGAAAGGTATCAGAAGGGCCCGTGACTTTAATAGAAGCCAAATCAGGTCACTTCAGAAATGGAAGTGTGTATAGCAGGTGAGAACTGTGAAAACAAATGTTAAGAAACAAATAAAAAAATAAATATAAGTAAAAAGCAAGCCAGCAGAGTATACATGCCAACCTAAACAAAGAAAGGTCAGCAACATGAAGCCAAAACTTTTACTCACTCACAACCTCAGAAATTCAATCAATTAGAAAGATGCTTACTGCTTGGCTTTCTAATTTGTACAGGGAATACAGGGAACTGGTAAGAACATGTGCAGAAGGATAGAAGAGGTTTAAAGGCTCTGGGAGAATTTCTCTGTAAGTAGCATCATAGTTCAAGTCTACATAAAATCTGATCCCTCTGATGACAGTACTGCAAAAGCATGGTCTTGGCAGAAGTGTACAGATAGTGGAAGTCAGAAGGAAACACAAGAGTGTGTTAAGAGTGTATTAATGTAATGAGCGCCTTGATCAAATATACCACTACTACTGTTTTTCAGCAGTTTTACATATACAGTTGAGAAGAGACTCCTTTCACTCCTTGCTGATAATTTTGCTGTAGCAATAATAATATGGCAAGAAAAGTAATGACAAACCAACCTGAATGGGACTGTGGTCGCTCATCCCTTTGCTGACTCCTGACTTCCACTGCCCATCAGGGAGTAAGCCACCGCCTGAGCGCGATCTAACAAGCACAAGCTAAGAAGAAAAGCTCCATTCACTGAGTAGGATATGGAGTTGTTGCTGTACCCCCCTCCAGTTATTAGGACTTCAGCTATTGTTTATTTCTGTCCCTTTCTTACTTAATGCCTTCTGGAATTAAAAAAAAAAAAAAAAGAAGAAGAAAAGAAAAAACCCTCCACCCATAAACATTAAGAATTGTTAATTTTACTCTCATCTTTGAAAAAGACCTTACAATTTTGTGGCAAAACCAACAATGTATCCCTGACACTTTAATCTCCAGTGCTCTAGTGGAATATGTAGAAATAATTTATTGATCTATTCAATCTGTTTTTAGCTTTGAAGAGCATTTTCCTTCCAAGATTCAAATCCTCCTCGTTGTCATCCATATCATTTTATTGACATCTCTAGTCTCTCCAAAATGCTTGCAAACCATATGTCTGTAATTCTGACACTGCATTAGCAGGCTGAAATCCAGCTCAAGTTTACTTTGCAGTAACAACAAAGGATCATATAAATCAGACTGTTCTCAGAACCCTGCCAAGCCAAGTATTGGAAAAGGTGCACATCAGGATTTATAGCAATGTGTTGACAGTAAGGTTTGCACAACTGCTGCCCATACAGCCCCAGCATTCCTAACAATTATGTACTCCCAGCTGACAAACTGAAGTATGAAATAAGAGAAAGTTATGGAAGACCAATCCAACTCTGTGCAAATTACTATATATAATTTTAATGCATTGCTAGCATTTCTCCCCCCAATTCCTTAATAGTTCATCATGTCCTTAGTGGCAACAGAGTAATTGTGCAGTGCAGACTGTACAGCATTAAGTAGTTACTCTATAACTGCAAACAGGCAACATCAACAAGAAAACAATTGCTTACAAGCACAGACACTGTTGTTATACCAACAATTAACAATATACAGCAGTGGAGTTACCTTGTGACAGCTCACAAAGCTTGTATTTGGCAGTTAGCCCTGAGAAAAAGCTTTAACTCATGGTAGGCTCAAACTGAAACCCTAGCACAGAATATCCCCAGACTGCACTTGCAGTTCTCACAGAGTAATGATGCTCTTTGACAGGAGCTATTGACCACCCTGCCCCCAAGCAAAATGTGAGCAGGAAGTAGAATGAAGATCAAAATCCACTTTTAAATTGTGCTGAGGAGTGAGAGGAGAGGTAGTAAACAAAAATGGTAATATTAAGAAAGACTCCCTGTTGTTATTTTACCATAATCACATCATATGAAGCTCTAATTAGGGCACAGAGAAAAACCAAAAAATTCTAAATAAACTGTTAATTGAGAGCAGTTCATTCTATCACTAAGGATGGATTGAAAGCAAAGCCATACAGCAGTTGTAGTCATAAAAAATATGTATATATTTTAATAGTTAAGTTCTGCTACCCTAACTTGCATTTTTAATTTTTCAGTTCAGATTTAAAAAAAAAAAAAAAAAAAAAAAAAGTCATCAATACTGTTGTAGTCATCGACACCTTTATGCTTTTGTGATATATCTCCCAAGTGCACCCTGGAAACATCATTTTAACACTGTGCCATTTTTTTGGATTCCTGGACAAGTAAAACAAAACCAAGAAACAACCAAAGTCTTATAGAAAACTACTTCTCTACTACTTAGAAAAACACTTATGTCACATTTCAGCTAACTTATTTATACGAGGATGTATTAAATTTCACAGACACAGACCTTGCTTACTCCATTTCTGCTCACGCTGCTCTTGCAAAACTCTTCAATGCCCTCCAGCACTGTGTAGCAGTGGCCAAGCCAGTTCTAAATGTGCTAAGCTTGATTAAAAACCAAACTCCCACCACCAAAAAAAATGCAAACAGTTTAGGTTCAGTGTGCCCCTACAAGGGTGTTTCTCTCAGGGTTTCCTCAGAGAAGGAAAATACATATCCCAAATAAATACTAATGAGGGTAAACAAACATTAGAAAGAAACACACTTTTCAGCTAACTCTAGCCCTAGCTGTTAGGCTCGTTATTCATCAGGTGACAATTCTCATGGTTCACTGGCTGGAAAGATGCTGAAGTCCAAAGGCAGATAATGTCCTTCTGTCTCATAGTCCTGGAAAGGACTTCCAAAAGGAAAACCTTCACAGGCAAGAAAGATGGTTGTAGGTGAATATGTCCTACATATTTCCCTATGGAGGAGAGAAGCAAAGCAGGCCCTCACAGAGGCTCATGTGCCCAATTTTTAGAGAAAAAGGCTGCATCTGTATCAAGAGATGTGTTCCAAGCAATGACTAAAGCTTTTATTTTATCCACTGCATAAGAGCTAAATCAAACCATTCCTCCTGATGACCCAAATAGCCAAGAATCCAGATGTTATTTTGGCACATTTATCAACTTCACTAAAGATATGACCACCTCTACAGACTGAGAAACTATGCAGGAATCAAAAGATTAAGTTTAAATACACTGCTGTCCTAGAAACAGCTTTATTTATAAGACCACATATATACAAGTGGAAAAGATACTAAATAGCCATTAACTTCTTCAGGGAAGAAACATATTTCCTGTGGTCACATGAGGAAATAAACGTAGCAAGTCAGAGAAAATCACTGTGAATACAGAACACATGAAGAAGTACAATCTATAGATCTGAGTACTTTCCCCATGTCTGGAACAGTAACAAAACTGAGACAGCTGCACAGGATTTTAATTTTTCTAACTTACGGTAAACTAATGCTTCTTTGATCACCATCATCTCTTATAAAAGAAAGATACCTCTTATAAAAGAAAGCACCTTCCAGGCATGTAGCAGGAAAAAACATACCCTTTCTCACTCTTCCTGTCCTTGTTCAGATATATTTCCATGGCTCAGGAACAACAAGAGATTAATGGATCCAGAGATCCCAGATATAGAAATGTTCTGATCGGTCTGAATAAACTATAAGGCAGCCCCTCCACACAGCTCCCTGAGTGCTCTAGTTTTCAGACGTAAGACTGGAAACTTGCAAAACTACTGACCTGTGCCTCAGACCACTGAGCTGCTTGTTCAGTTGACATCAGTCTGAGGTGAGATTCCCCGGTTCTTCCTCTGATTGGGCCCCA